GTATGTTTCCTTCACAGGCCCCTTTTAGTCTTTTGGCTCTAGTTTCAGGGCCAGGATGTGTTTCTTTCACTGGTGTTGCTGTAAAATAAACCACATGCTTGGTGAGGGTATTTATTGTGGAAGGTACTTACAAGAGAAACTGGCAATCCAGGTGAGTCAGCAGCTTTCCAAGATCGAATCTGAAACTGGAAAGAGAGCAGGAGTGTCTCCTGCACAGCCTTTTCTTATCACATCTGTGTGTGCCTCTAACCACGCCCAAGTGGGTGTGGTCAGTGGCACAGGTATCTAAAATCTCTCCCTACTCTCTGGCTCTGGTTTCAGGGTCAAAGACCCTTTTACCCTACACTATCCATCTGGAACAAATAAGCCAGAATAAGTCCTCTTCCTTAAGTTACCTTTGGTCACAGTGTTTCAACACAGCAACAGAAGGGCAACTAATACATGCCCTTTTCCGGTTTTGCTTTTAATTTTGACTTTGTTTTGAGACAGGGCTCACAATGAAGCTCATGTGGACCTCAGAACTAGCTATGTAAACCAGGCTGGCCTCAAACTCAGAGTGATCTGGCTCCTGTTGCCTCCTCAGAGCTGTGCCACCATGCCAGGCAAGTTACTCTTCTAGTTGCTTTGACCAAATACTCGATAGCGAGCAGCATAAAGGAGAGAGGGTTTGTTTTTTCTCAGAGTTTAGGGGGATGCAGTTTATCACGGAGGGGAAAGCATGGTGGCAGGGGTGACATTGGTATGCAGTAGTGACTACTCACATCTTGATGGACTAGGAAGCAGACAGCATTTAGACATAAAGGGGGGCTGGGCTACAAGCCTTAAACATCACCCCTCCCCCAGGAATTCTTTCCTTTAGCAAGGCTTGGGACAGGCATTCAATCACATGACCCAAAGCGTCATTTCACAACCACAGCTTTGGAGACAGATTACCTGGAGTGCACTTATGGATTCTCTGTTCACCTTCTACATCCTACAGTGAAAGGGGAAGTGACTTGTTGACTGTAGTCTGCTCTTCCCCCTTCATTCAGTCACAGATAAGTCCCTGCCTCTGTGATTACTCTGATTTCACTGGAGGGTAGTATTTGGGCACCATGATTCCACTGAATCTAAGGACACTGACGTGCTATTGTGGCATGAACTGAGTTGAACTCTGAAAACAGCTTTATCAACAATGAAACTTTTCTTTTGGTGTGTATCTATATATGATGTGTGTGTTCGTGTATGTGCAGGGGTCTATGTGTTTGTGTATACATGCATATGGGTGTGAGGTCAGAGGACAATCCCAACAGTTGTGTTTTAGGTGATATTCATCTTCTTTTTGAGGCAGTCTTTCATTGTTCTGGTGCAGGCAGGTTAGATTGGTCAGCCATTGAGCCCATGTCACCACCTTCCAATGCTTAGAGTATAAACATGCACCTCCGTGCCTGGCTTTGTGTGTGTGTGTGTGTGTGTGTGTGTGTGTGTGTGTGTGTGTGTATGTCTGTATGTCTATATGTGTGTACATGCATATGTGTGTGTACATATGCATGCTTGTGAGTTAGTGTGTGTACATGCATGTATGTATGTACATGTGTATATATGCATGTCTGTATGTGTGATTCTATATGTGTGTGTTTAGGTAAGAGAGAGAGTGTGTGTGTTGTGGTGCTGTGGGGTAAAACTCAGGTCCTCATGTTTATAAGGCAAGCAATTTAACGAATGAGTTGTTACCACAACCCAGTAATAAAAACAGTGTTTTATTCTTCAACTGCCTGATCCCTGGATTCAGTATGTGACTTCAGAAAGGAGAGCGGCAATTTGTTTGTCAAAATTCTGTTATTGGTGCATGATCTGGAAAACTTCAACAGAAGAGGTCTAGAATCTGGGGGGGCGGTTGTCATTGTCATAATAATGGATTCAGCCTGGGCTTGTGATTCTTATCATTGATTAACACCTAGAGGCCATGTGGCATTTTCTCCTTGGCAGCTTGCAAGTGCTCTGTATTTTGCTGTGTAGCCATTTTATTTTGCAGTAATGTAGTTGACTTCTAATAAGCTGGGACTCGTGAGTGGCTTTAATGTGTTTAATAAGTGAGCCACAAGGGGAAATGATCTTGGTCAGTACAAGCTATGGCAGCTTGCTTATGGGCAAGATGATACTGCTATACAGGAGTGCTAGAGCTTTTATATAGAGGGCTGCAGATGAGCAAGTACTCCTCCTTGCACCTTAATAGAAACCAGTGGGGCATCAGCTGCAACTGACCTTAGCAAGGCCACAGTTTCTTACACTGCAGGGGAGGGTGAGAGAGGACTCTGGTCCTCAAAGAGAAGGTGTGTGTTTCTAGTGAAGCTGAACCAGGCGGAGGGGCTCTAACACTTTCCTCTCTCTCTTATTGTGCTGCTCATCCAGGTCCACCAAGACAGCTACATTCTACTCTGAATTCACAGGGGTGTGTGAGGTTTTGAGCTATAAATCGCTAATGCCAGTCCTAAATAGTCCGTTACTGAACTGGCTGCCTCAAATCCATTAGCTGCACTGAAGGGCAAGGAGAAATATGGGGAAGTAGATAGACATTTCACAGTGTATGGTACCTAAAGAGTGAGTCCTCTAACCCTGTTCCACTACGAGAACTCATGTGCACTTTGTTTTGTGTCTTATATGGCTTCCTACAGGAGCTGAGCTGAGACGTGGGCTGGGTTGGGTACAAATAGGGGCCTTCGGTTTCTCTTTTGAGAGGAAACATTGCTTAGAAAGCTCTAGTAGCTAAAGTGAGGAACTGCACTAAATGGTCACAGCATTAGGAAGGTTGAGAACCACTGCCCTAGACAGTCCTGAAGCAGGGAAGCTCCAGGGTTTGGGAGAGAGAAACATGAGAAACGGTTTACCTGTGTTGTACTGAAATCCAGCCAAGTGGGAGAATGTGGCTAGAAGCCCTATCCCACCACATTGTATTAGTTGTATAAGCTCTGAGCCTTCAGATTTTTGAGATCCATAAAATAATAGCAGATTTGGGGAATAAACAAGTACCCAGAGTTCCTACTCTGCAGAAAGTGTGCCATCAAAAGGAACCACAGTAGAAAATGATCTTGATGGAATAATTTCATATTCCAAAGGTTTAAAAGGGTTAGACCTAGAATTCTCAGTTTCTCTAAATCAACCCAGGAAATTAATAAGGAGTAAGAAGAGTATGTAGGCCATATTTCAAACTATTACTCAAACAGGAGTAAGGACCAAAATAAAACAATGGAAATAGATTAGGGTATAATAAGGGAAAATATCCCCCATGAGATGTGTTACTATGTAGAGACCAAACTGGAAGTTATGGAAGTTGACTAAGTTTAAACAACCCTGTCTACCACATCACTTAAGACAATTTACAAAGACATGGGAGGACGGAGGTGTGAAGAGTGAGGAGTTATTACATAAAAGTGCAATTCAACACTTCAGCTCATTAAAAAAACAGTTTGAATTATAACATGAAAAAATGGTAATGAATGAAGGAAAACTGTACAGCTTGGGCTCTCCACAAAACAACCAAAACCATCAACCAAACAAAACATGTCTCCAATCATCACATGAAGAGAGCAAGACTTGCTGTGCTTCTCCTAATGTACTCACTGCTACTCCTTCTGTTGCTTCTGCCATGACTTCTGCTATCATTTAGTTCCAAGATACAGAACTTCCATAACTTGAACTTCCGGACCCATCAGTCTTAACCTAGATGTAGGTGGTTCCCACAGGTGATGCATGTTATGCTGATGTTTTCTGATGAGGCAGTCACGTCATGAAGTTTGTAAGGAAAAAAAAAAGGACCGTGTGTGCATTTCAAAAACTAGTTAACACTAAGTTAAGAAAACATCAGCATAACTTGCATCATCTGTTTCCTGTATGTGGCCATTTATACTCTGCTGGCTTCCCCTTGAGGAGATCTTCCACCTCCACCTGCACAGCTATTTAGGTCTGGACCATTACTGCCTCCTTAGTTGTGAAATGTGTCCTTGATATCACTAGAGGTAGGTGATCTGTGTATGTGTGGCAGTCATTGTTCCCTTCCAAGGCATAATTCACCTTCATCACCTTCCAACATTGTGGCAATGAAAAGCAAACACTCAAGAAGAGGCTTTCCTTCCCTCAAGATTCTCCACTGATGTCTGTGGCATCCATAGTCCCATGCTACTCCAGGGTCTGGCTTATCCTAGTCCTCGCTGAATATCAGAACAAAGGAAGAGAAGAACTTGGAATCCAGACCCTTGAAGATAAACAGAACCACTGTAACCCTTCCCCAACTGATAATGGGCTATGGTGACCATGTTATTTTTCTCATGCCCAGCCACCATGTAGTCCCATGCTCATAGTCATGGGCAGAGCTGGGCTAGTGTAGACATCTCTCAGAAGCCTCTGGACTTTACCCTACAGCCAGAGGATAGCAGATGTGTCTTTTGGTAGGCTGGCACAAAGACAGAAAGAGAAGGCAAGCGTGGCTTCTCATGAATTCTCCACTGGAAGTTGGCACTATTCTTGTAGTGGGCAGCAAGGGAGGTAAGAGCTAGCTAAGATGATGAAGCAGTAAAGGCTTATAACTTGGTGGTTCCTTAAATCAATAGTTTAAAAATTGTTGTTTAGAATTGATATAAAGGGAAGGGGAGTTTTAATATTCTGCTAGTACAGTTTTTGTCCTCCCTTTATGTCCCCAGTGACATTGTATTGCGACCATTTTATGTATCTTCTAAATGCCTTTGATTCTTTAACAGTAGGGCACTTTCAAAGCTTGTCACGTGTTGTAATATTAATCTAATCTTAGGCTTTGGCTTATTTGACTTCTCTTTTCTTTCTCAGTTTTTATGCCAGTCACGATTGGATAGCCTTAGTCAATCTGAGTTGCTAAGGGCAGAAATAATTCACATAGACATGTTTACTATGTCTTACTCAAAATACTTTAAGGTTATTTCTTGCTTTCTATGTAAATAGTTTTCATTTCTTGATTGCTTCTATTTTCTTTATGCTTTTTTTTGAGCCAGACAACGTCTTTGGAATTGTACTAAAGAGCTTGGAAGAGAGGAGGGATAAAGCAGTCCTTTGCTGTAAGCACTCCATGCTGTTACAGTGATGGCCATTTCCAGATTGCTGTCGCTGAGGTGTGAAATGTACATAGGTACCTTGTGAAAGCAGTCAACACAAAGAGGTGAGCCCCAGTAAGGAGCGCCCCTTTCCATTTTCCCTGCATGCTGCCCACCTCTGTGTGAGTCACACTAACATTCGTTTTGCTTGTGATATAGTTGTGTATTGAAACGAACAGTGTACTTCTTACATAATCCTGAACATTTTTTTATGTCCTGTATTAGCTGACCTCATTGATCACCTACTCATTGCTTAGTCAGGGCTGACTCGGATAGATCAAGAGAGGCTGTTATACACAGTGTCAAAGAACAGCCTGGTTCAACATTAGTGTTGTCAGGATTATTCAGCTGAGTACTGAGTTCTGACTGTGTTGACTGGGGTAGAAGTGGCAACAAGAGTTCATTTTACTGAAAGATCCTCAGGACTTACCAATGGATAAATGTATAGTAGATTCTCGGTAAGATGTTTATATAAATATGATAGCTTTTTACTTCACAAGCATTGGCATTAATATTAATTAAGTGGGTGTCTCCCCCTACGTGCCTATGTTGGGGTCACAGGCATGCACCACTGTGGCCAGTTTTTGCATAGGAACTGGAGATCAGAACTGTCATGTTTTCATGATGATACTTTAGAAACTGACTCCCCTGTCACCAATCCCCTGCCCTAAGTCTTTTTTTAACTCTGTCAAGTTGAATATGGAAATTGATCATTAGACCTACAAAGAGATGAAGTAAGAGGATTGATTCCTAAAATCTGTTTACACAATGCCACTAAACATACTGAAATATCTACTTCACAGACAGTATTCTATTAAAAATGCAATCTTCAAAATTCTATTTAAGGCATTTGTCTTTTTTAGGAGGTTTGTATGACACCTCTGCCTTTTTGTATGTATAGTTGTATATGCTGGTAAGTCCAGTTTTTTCTTTTCTTATTAAAAAATTACTGGTTTTCTATCATTTCCATGAACATTGTTCAAGGCAGAAGCACATAGACATAGTTGTCAATGAACACGATAATGTCCCTGCTCTTATCGCCTTATATGATAGTGGAGATTGGGAATACACATGTGCATCTGTAAGCTAATGTTACTGACGTGTGTTGTAGAGAACAAGGAGGGCTCTTTTACATAGGGTGCTCTCAAATACTATCTTTGAGGAGGTGACGTGTGAACAGAGACCTGGATTGAGAAATGTGAAAGACCGTGAAAATATCTATGGGGGAAGGCTTCAGAAAGAGAGACCAAGAGCAAAGGTTCATTATTGTTTTCCCCATGGAACCGTTGCATTAAACACGTTTGGGGGAAGAAAGGGTGCTCCAAGGAGGAGCCCTGAGTGCAGCTGCTCTGATTGATACCCTTTGCCAATTAAGACCTCTTCGGTACCTCAAAGGAAGGCACAGGGCTACCTGTCTTGTGAAAGACAAATGGACTCTGGAGACATTTTGATTCTGTGATTCACACATGCACCAGACCGATGGAGCAAAAGCTTACTTTTCTTGTGTGGAGTTCTTTGGTACCCAGTGTCCAGTTTTGGCCTTTAAATGCGTTATACCAGAGTTTGTCATTTCTCCAAAGGCTCAGGCATAGGAGTCCTATACACTGGATTTTTAGCAATACTATATTTTGCCTGAAAACACAGGGTTTTTAATGAATTATTGCTCCAGCAGCAGGTAGTCTTTCTTATGTTTAATCACCTGCTCACTGCATCTGTTTCCTAATATCTTGGGTGTGAGAGAGCTTGGGCATTCTGGGACAAATAAGGGCTCTCTCGAGTCAAGTTCATCAACCACTTAATAATAATATAATGCTTCTGTGGGGGCCTCTGCTTACCTATCTGCTAAATTTCTATAGGTCTTTCTTGATGTTAAATCACTCTTCTGTTTGGCAGTGGGTGAGGTCTCATGAAGTTACCTAATTTACCTGGCAGGCAGATAGGTGAGAGACATTCAAGTACCCAGCGAGCTTACTCTCTGATAGAGGATTTATCTGGCTTTGTAGGCAGAAACACTCATGCCAATGACCACTCTCTCAGCCTTCCTGGTGGTAGTCAGAGGCTAGATTGTGGATCTTGAGAGGGTCATCAATCCATTTACTGGGTACAGAGTCTGGGAGAAGAAACAGAGTGTGCAAATATTCTACCAAGTGGCTCTCAAACACAGCTACTGTGGTGTGTGTGAAACTTACATCCCTGAGCTGGACAGTGTTGTTTCTGCCTTTAAAAAGTTTGAGGGTCAAATGGTGAAGTCCTACAGGAATAACTATCAACAACTTCTGGAGACCATGATGCATTCCAAGTGGACATTATCAGCATTTAGAAAAAGCAGACTCCATAGACCTGTACAATGGACAGTTAAATAGTTCTCCCATTCAGCGTTTATGGCTGGTTATGGTACATCCATAGTCAGGAAGGAGAAAAAGGAAGGAGGGAGGAAGATGGGGGAGAGAGACAGAGAAAGGGGGAGGGAGGGGAAGAGGGAGAGGTGGAGGGGAAGAGGGAGAAGAAGGAGACACACAGAGAGAAACACACACACGAGAGAGAGAGAGAGAGAGAGAGAGAGAGAGAGAGGACTCTGTTCACTTTTTTTCCTCTATTCAGTCACATATAGCCTACAGAGTGGCACCGTGCATATTTTAGGTGAATCTTCTTACTTCAGTCCCTCACAGACCACAGATATTCCTAGAGATTTGTCTTGTAGATGATACTAGATCCTGTCCAGTTGACAGCCATTATTAACAGGTTCCATTCTGTTTTAGGCATACTATAGCCTCCTTGTATGGATATTACCTCATTTAATCCTCCAGCCAAACTGTAAAGCAAGAGTTTATATTTTCCTCCTGCGATAGTCTCAGGAGCATAAAGAACTTACCCAGTACCCTCCAGTTGAAGAAGTACTGAGGCAGGAATGATACTACACAGTGTGTGGTGGCTGTGCTTTACTGAACTGTCAGAACGTCTCCAAGCCTTTAGTTACTAAACACCATACTTATCCTCCATGCCCAAACTGTAGGGATCTCCCCATGATGTAACAGCTAACCAACTATTGCCCAGCACTAGAGACTACTGTTAGAACCCTGGCTCCAGCACCCCAGCCATTCTTAGTTCTAATCCATCGATGCCTCTATACCCACCTTACCTTGGGCTCAGGGAAAATTGACATTTCAGAGAGATTAAGTAGGGTCCCAGGTAGAGCTCAAGCCCAGCTTTTCTTTTTATTTCTGTAAGTTGAGTCTCGTCGGTTTGCTTTATGACATATGACTACAGTACCTTTTATGGAATGAAGTATGAAATAGTGAATATGTCGGTTTTATATTTTCTCTCTAACCAACATTTAAACTTCATGTGGTTTACTTCTTAACATGCAGTTTAATATATACTCCAGTGTCTGTGGTTAAAACCTTGATGCTTTTATCAGACAGAAGCATGTAAGGAAAAGATCACTGCCAGGCAGTTTGGTTCTGATACTCTGCATTTGCGGGACATATGTTAGGGTGGAAAATAGCACACGCTTATATAACGAGTGTAGCCGTCTGTCCTCATGTGTACTTCATTTGATCCTTGCAACCACTCTGTGGACAGAAACACCCACTGGATGTAGAATTCAAGACTGGAGGAAAGACTTCCAGGACTAAAGGAAGATCTACAGGGAATGCCTCATCATTGTTGGGCCTCAGAGCAGTAAGGCAAGTTAAGTTCCTGTCCAAGAATGTTAGATGCCTATTCTGACCCAGGCTGTGGGAGGCTCTGAGGAGGCAGAGCTAAAGCCAGTTTCTTCTGTACAGACTGAAAAGCAAGCTGCGAGACAGACTGGTAGAAATTATAACTATATACACTAATATAGATACTGTGTGACCTGAAAGTAGGAAGGGGTTATGAAAGTTAAAAATATTATTCAGAAGTCCAAAGCACTCTTCCTTGATTAGCATGATTCTTTTTCTTACAAAACAGATTTTTAAGCATGTATTATATGTTTATGGGTGTTTTGGCCACATGCATGTCTATGCACCATATGAGGAAGTACCCATGGAGACCAGAGAGGCTGCCACATTTTCTGTAACTTGAGTTAAAGATGGTTGTGAACATGGTGTTGGGAACTGAACGTGGGCCCTCTGTAAGATCTGGAAATTCTCTTAACCATTAATCCATCTTCTAGCCCATGATTCTCCTTTCCCCCTTTAACGTGTGTGTGTGTGTGTGTGTGTGTGTGTGTGTGTGTGTGTGTGTGTGTGTGTGTGGTTAGAGGACAATCTTGGGTGTCATCCTTGGAAATGGTACCCACTTCCTTTGATTCAGAGTCCCTTACTGCCAGCAGTTCACAAATTAGGCTAGACTGGGAGGCTGGTGACCCCAAGGACCCTACTTTCTCTCCTTCTGTAGTGTTACAATTATGCATATATGTCACAGATTCTAGGGATCAGACTCACATCTTTAGTCTTGAGAGGCAAGTACTCTACTAAGTGAACTCTCTCCCCAACTCTTGCCCCCCCTACCCCTGGCCCCCAGCATAAAGGACCAATACTGATGGACTACAAATCTGGGATTCACTGGGTTGGATACAGTGGAAAGATAAAGGGGGTCAAATATCCCAACTGTAATGTTTCAGGCATTATGCTGGCCTGCCTCTGTCTCCTGGCAGAATGCACTCAGACAGTACCCTGGTCAGTCCAGGGTTCTATGATTGTAGTCTGCACACAGGTGCAAAGGATCCCTTTAAAAGACAGACCTCCTCGTCCGCTTACACTCTCTTCTCAAGTTCTCTTTGCTGCTCTCTTTCCCACTGCCCCCTGGGGCAGACAGGACTTTTCCTGTCTCATTCTTCTGTCATCTCTCTGTGTCTTTATGTCTCCTTACCTCTTTTCTCTTTCCTTCCCCTCCCTCCCCTTTCCAATAAAACTTCTCACTTAAGCTCTGTCTGTTCTGTCCCCCCCAATCACCCTCACCTGCCATGGAATCCTCCATGGGCCCCCACACAAGGTCCCCCTAAAGTTTTATCATAACACCAACTATTAGCCAAAGCACCATTTAAATAATCGTCATAATGTGTAGGCTGAGCAGGGGAGGA